CCCCCCTGCCGGCTTCCCCCGAGGCTTTCAAAGCCGCGGAGGGGCTCCGGCGGCGGTGCATCCGGCGTACAAGACGACCCCCGATTTTGGGGGGATGTTTTTTAACATCAGAGGTCGTCTTGTACGCCGGAATATACGGTACATGTTGAGAAAATGAGAGGTATACCATCATTTTACCTCTCCCGATACAAGTATTCTAGAAATATACTCAAATAGCAAAGAAATGGTTATTTAATTTTTGTGACTGCATTTAATTGAAGTCTCAGACTGTGAAAAGATTTTGAAGATAACTCATTCACAAGAGAAATGTTAGATTTTCTTCCAAGCAGAATTTTGGCATACCAGTTTGCAGATGCAACTTCACTTAACTTCTACACTCCTCTGTGGGCAGAGGGATGTAAATTAGACGTATCAAAAGTGCAAGTGAAGCCGGGATTTAAATATCCCACGCTTCGTTTACATAATGATGGATGCCACTTTTTTTGAAACAGGGCTTTTTGAAAAAAAATCTCAGCAATTTAGACAGGGCATTTTTGACAGAAATGCCCCATTTCAAAAGATCCTGTACTCCTCAAAAAATGAGGATATTTAAATCCCGGCTTCATTTGCAATATCGATGTGCCTAATCTACATCCCTTTTTCGATAAAGGGATGTAGTTTAGACACAGCCTTAAACAGAAGCAATCAGAGCCATCCTTAGGCATATGCAGCTGTGTGGTACTCCAAATTTAGTAGTACTCTCTCTTATGTATGCATAGGGATAGGATGTTAAGCAGCTGCAGAGATCCTATCCCCCAGCTGCTCTCCCTCTTCCTATTGGCTTAGTACCGGTTCTGGTGGCCTCCCAGCCCCTGTTTGCTAAGCAAGTGCAGGTTGAGGACTCTAGAGGAACAGAGGGAGCCTGTATAGCTGGCCACAGGAGAGAAGCGAGAATTTCCCCTTCAAAGTGCTGCTTCTCTCCAGCCTGCTACGCTGCTGTCCTCTGCTCTGACCTACTCTCCTGCCACCCATGCCTCCTGTCCTGAGGCTGCAGGTGCACCTTCTGCCCTGCCATGCTCCAGAGTTGTCAACTCTCTTAGACTGGATGCTATCACAGCAAATGGCATCTGGTCCAGGAAAGTTGGCATCCTCTGCAGGGTGGGGTGCCGGTGTTGGGCTGAGTAGGGCACTAGCCCTGGTAGGGACTGCCCTCAATGAAATCACCTAAAAAAAAACCCCTACTTTTAAGAATGTCCTAATCTACTATACTATAAATAATGCAAGAGATTTGGGAATTTATTTACATTTTACTCTGAGTATTTACAGTATTTCTTGTAAAATTAGTTTCTTAGTTTCCCCTATTGTGAGTGTGTGTATGTGGGGAGGGGGAGAATCTGACAGCAAAAAAACGAGAGAAATATTTACAAGAAGAAAATACAAATACACATATATTACTGGCAGGGGTAAATGTAGCACTGAAACTTTTTAACACTGACTAGATTTCAAATTGACAGTGTTTCTTTAAAATAGTTTTGTAATTAAAGGGTATGTGCCTTTGACCTTTATTTCATTGTGACAGTAGAAAGTTGTCCTTTTCTTTGCAAAAAGTCAATGTGGAAGTCAGTGAGTCCGATTAGCTTGAGACTTAGACAGGTTACTTGGGCCATGTCTTCACTACCGTTATTCCCTGCAGCTGTTCACGTTAGTTCAATCTCTGCAGCAATCCAGTTAACTTGGTCATACCAGCGTTAGATGACATAATGCTGAAACCAGTGTTAGAAATGGCAACTCTGCATTAAAGCTCTGAATGTTGCTAAATTCAATTAATCTGAACTGGTGTTAACAATCATGGAAAATTTTTCAAAAGGGCCTCGAGTGTCAGCATAGGCATAGAGAGTGTGATCTAGAAATTAGGGATGTTAATGTGACTACATGATTAACAGATATGCCTAGGTTTATCAGTTAATCTATTGATTACATGCATTCTTCTCCCCTCTCCCCCCTTGCTTCCTGTGATACAGGCAGCAAGAAGGGTGGGAGCTGGTTTCCCACAAGCACTGGATGTCGCAGAGGTGCCTGTTTCCCCCCACTCCCATGCGCTACTGCCTCTGCATATGCTTATTGGGTAGTCAATTACTAACTTGTCTAGTCACTCCCCTTCCCTTGCCTTCCCTTCCCTTCCCGTTCCTGAGAGAGGCAGAAAGGGGGGGAAAGCAGGAGCAGGTGCTGGGGGGAGTTGTCTTAAAAGCCAGTTACTCCCAGCACCATCTCTGCGTAGGGCAGTGGAGGCAGAGGTGCAGCTAGGGGGACCCAGTGCGAGCTAGGAATTGGCTGTCTCAGCTCGCACCAGGTCCCCCAGCTGTGCCTCTGCTTTTTAAATGTATTAAGAACTGCCAAGTGCAGCCGGGGGGAACCAGGCATGAGCTGGGACAGCTGATTCCCAACTCGTGCTGGGTTCTCCCTGGCTGTGCCTCTGCTTTTGAACCGCCGGGTTCTTAATACATTTCAGAAGGAGAGGTGCAGCGGGAGGTACCCATCATGATTTGGGACAGCTGATTCCCAGCTCACACTTGGTTCCCCTGGCTGTGCCTCCTCCTGGCAGCTCTTAATACATTTAAAAGGCAGAGCTGCAATGGGGTGAATCCATCGACTATTTGATTAGATGATTAAACACAATTTAACATCCGTAGCCTAAATAAATCTGTTTAGCCTTTAAGGTGCCACAGGACTCATCATTGGTTTTGCAGAATTCTAATAGATTGGTGAGATGCAATTTCCCTTTATGAAAGTGATGTTGACTATTTCTCCCCACATTGTGGTCATTTGTGTATCTGATTTAATTTTGTTCTTTGCTATGGTTTCAACCAGTTTGCCTGATATAGAATGTAGGTTTATTGGCCTGTAATTGCCAGGATGAGCCCTAGAGCCTTTTTTTTTTTTTTTTTTTTTTTAAAGTCGTGTTACATTAGCTATCCTCCAGTTATCTAGTACAGAGTCTGATTGAACTGATAGGTTACATGCTTAATAGTTTTGCAATTTGAGTTCCATCAGAAATGTGAGTTCCATTTGGTCCTGGTGACTTTACTGTTTAATTTATCAAATTGTTCCAAAACCTCCTCAACTTGGGACAGTTCTGCAGATTTGTCAGCTGAAAAGAATGACTCGGGTGTGGGAATCTCCCTCACATTCTCTGCCCTGAAGACTGATGCACAGAATTAACTTCTCTGCGGTGATCTTGTTTTCCTTCATTGCTTCTTTAGCACTTTGATCATTAAGTGGCCCTCTGATTGGCAGACTTTCTGCTTCTGATGTGCTTAACATTTTTTACTATTAGTTTTTGTCTCTTCTTCTACTTGCTGTGCAGATTTTTTTATGGCTTAACTAATTATAGTTTTACAGTTGACTTGCCAGAGTTTATGTTGAATAACATCTGTTTCACAAAGCAGTGATTAATGTGGTGTTTCTATCAGTTGACTCCCTTTTTATTTTATAACCCCTTTATTACTGTTAACGGTTCCCATTGAGAGCCACCTAGAATTAATAAAGAAGAAAATTGTCTCTTGTGTGTCCCTCTATTGATGGTGAAGTTGTTAAACGAACATCAATTATTTCTGTGGGTGTTAAAAATATATATATATTTTTATAATATAGCTACAAATCAGTGGTTTCTTCCTGCTGTTAGAGGAGATATTCCTCCAGGCTGTGCAGCCCATGGATTTGTCTGTGATGGCACCAGAATACTAGTGTTTGGAGGAATGGTTGAATATGGAAGATACAGTAATGATTTATATGAATTACAGGTAAGACACAATGAGGACCTTTCAGTTTTAAAGATTGTTGCATTTATCCATTTTGATAAAAGATTCTGCTTCTATTTAAGTGAAATAATACATTAAATTAGAAATTATCTGACTGGCTAGGGCTCTTAGAAAGCTGGCCTGGATGAGCACTCTGTGTTGTTCTGTTGAGGAGAAAATATAACTAAATCTTGAAAACAGGTCATACAAATGAAATCATTTAATCTCATTATATTTGACTTTATCAATTTATTATCAATTGTTGTTTAACTTTATTCCTGTTTGCATTAGGAGGATACCAGGAAATAGTCAATAAATTAATAGTTAAAAGATTATGCAGAAAATATGCAAAGAATAGCCAATGATGGTATTATCTTGACTTTCAAATTATATTTATTGATAGTATATAAGTAGATTTGATTTCTTGAAGATGTCTTTTTTTCTCTCCCTTTAAGGCAAGTCGATGGCTGTGGAAAAAAGTAAAACCTCAGGCTCCTCCTATTGGTTTGCCACCTTGTCCTAGACTTGGTCACAGCTTTTCTTTATATGGTAACAAGTGTTATTTGTTTGGTGGCTTGGCAAATGAAAGTGAAGATTCAAACAATAACATTCCCAGGTATGCTGACTGGGTTTGATCAAAATATCTAAATAATAAATGTAACAAAACACAAATCAAAAACTTTGAAATGGTTAAATGAAGAAGAAAATCTTTTCATGTCCCAGATGATACAGTGATGGAGTTACTAGAAATACATTTTACAGTAGACTTCCGATAATCCGGCACCTTTGGGACCCAGGGAGTGCCGGAGTATCAGGAGGTACTTCAGCGAAGGGGCTGTGACGGGTTTGCCAGGACCCGCACTGCAACCGGTGGGGGAGAAGGGGGTCGGCGGGGAACGGCGCGGCGAGGGGTGAACCCTCCCCTGTTTTGCAGGGAGGTGGGGGAAGCTCCGCGCAGCCGCTGGCGACAGTCCAGCTGGGGCTGCAAGTGGCAGTGGCAGATTTGGGGAAGCGGCTGGCGGGGGGCAGCGCTGCGGGACCAACCCGGCAGCACCCCAACTGCTCTGCCCCAGACGTCCCCAAGTCAGCCACTGCTGAAACTGACCAGCGGCTGACTCGGGGGAGCCCCGGGGCGCCCAGCTGGCCTGTAGCCAGCGGCTGCGCGGAGCTTCCCCCGCCTCCCTGCAAAACAGGGGAGGGTTCACCCCTCACTGTGCTGTTCTCCGCCCTCCAGCCAGACACAGTGCAGTCCAGCAGACCTGTCATGGGTATAATCCCCTTCTCCTCTCCTCCCCTTCCCTTTCCTGGCCCATGAGCACGCGTGGGGCTCACAGGACCTCCAATTGTCCGGCCAGCGGCTGCGCGGAGCTTCCCCCGCCTCCCTGCAAAACAGGGGAGGGTTCACCCCTCACTGTGCTGTTCTCCGCCCTCCAGCCAGACACAGTGCAGTCCAGCAGACCTGTCATGGGTATAATCCCCTTCTCCTCTCCTCCCCTTCCCTTTCCTGGCCCATGAGCACGCGTGGGGCTCACAGGACCTCCAATTGTCCGGCTAGTTGAAGCACTTCTGGGTTCCAGTTGGTGCCGGACTATCAGGAGTGCCGGACCACTGGATGCCGGACAATTGGAGTTTTACTGTAGTTAGCTTGTGTATGCTAAAGGGACTTTGCTATAATCTTCACATTACTTTTGTTGCAAGAACTGGCTAGAAGCTCTGACATATTTGCAGTGGAAGCCAAATATACTGCCTTTTGCTGAACTCTAGGATTAGTTACTAAATTTCAGAAGAGAGATCTCTTTCCTTCAGTCTCTTATTAGAGAGAACATGAGATGACCTTTATTGAGTATATCTACACTGCAATTAAATATTTGCAGCTAGACCACATCAACAGTCTGGGGCCCAGACTAAGGCTGTTTAATTGTGGGCTTGGAGTGGAACTTGGGCTTTGTCACCCTGCAGGGAGGGAGGGTTCCGGAGGCTGGGCTTCAGCCTAAGTCTGAATGTCTCCACTGCAGTTAAACAACCCCTTAGGCTGAGATTCATGAGTCTGCTGATATGGGTCAGCCACAGGTGTTTTATTACAATGTAGACATACCCTGAGATCTCTTTATATAGTGCTTTGGCATGCACTTTAACTGATGTTCCCATGAGTCGTCCTTCTTCAGTGGATTTGGGTTGGAAGATTTTGTTCACTAGAATGTTGCAGAGAATCGTGGAATGTGCTGCGTATACAAACTCTTCAAAAACAGTTAATTTTTAAATCGACACAAATAGGACATCAAAATTGAAAATACTGTCCCCCATAAAGATCTGCAGTTAAGACTACTTTCAGTTGTCTAGCTGCAATGAAATTCCAGAATTCTCTTCTTCCCTTTATTAAACAAGATTTGGCTGAAACAAGTATCAGAATTCAGACAGTTCTCAAAGTAACTTGCAATAAGTGGATTTCCATTGATTCAACAATAAATGGTGAATTCCCTCTCAGTGACCAACCCAAAGGTATTCTGCTCATATTCTGCTGATGTACCATATCATAGAGTATCATTTAGCTTAACAATTTGCTCTTCAGTTGCTGTGGACATTTGGGGTGTGTCTACACTGCACCGTAACTCAAAAGAAGATATGCAATTTGAGCTATGCAAATTATGTATCTTATTTTGAAGCTATTTCAGAATAGCTTAATTCATCATAAAGCACTACATCTTATTTTGAAGCTATTTCAAAATAGCTTAATTCATCATAAAGCACTATTCCGAAACGTCCCTTGCTCCTCATAGAATGAGGTTTACAGGGACATCGGAATAATGAGCCCGAAATAACGGGCTTGCTGGGAAGTCATGGAATAGCTATTCCGGGATACTCCAGTATCCCGAAATAGCGTTGCAGTGTAGAAGTACCCTTGTTCAGATGTAGTGAATCATGCTAAAAATCTTAGTGTCACTTTTGAATATGTCTTTTCTGTGGACACCGTAAGTCAAAGTTGGTAGAGTTTGGTTGGTGAAAACAGACTTTCTTCAGTGTACAGGTTGTGCCTGTAATCTACCCATATTTTGCCCCTCCTTTGTATTTAAATATCCTCTCAGTATTTTTAAAACCTACTTTTTAGAGTGAATACTGACCCCGTGTTTAGTTTTCCTTTTTGTAAATTGAAACCTCCTCCTTTTTGCTTGTTTGAAAAGAACGCTGTTTAGTGGAGTTTGGTTTTATTCTGTTTGTACAACTCCTTCTGTTCAATGTTTGGTAGGTACTGTAAAAATAAAATTATTGTAGCCCTTTGCTATAATAACCTTTTGAAAAAACAATTTATAGTGCTGACAGTCTAAAGTTCACCTATGTTCCCTTTTTATAATCCTTCAGTTACATTGTTCAATATCTTCCCAATATTACACTAGATATTTAAATGATTTCTATGAACTGGAGCTGCAACATGGTTCTGGAGTCGTAGGCTGGAGCATTCCAATGACCAAAGGAATCTTGCCTTCTCCTCGAGAATCCCACACAGCCATTGTGTATTGCAGAAAAGATGTAGGAAATCCAAAGATGTATGTTTTTGGAGGGATGTGTGGCTGTAGACTTAATGACCTTTGGGAGCTTGACATAGGTGAGTTTAATCAATGTGTAAATCGGCTTAACTGCTTATCTGGTATTGAGGAAAAGTGAAACCCTCTGATAATTAGTGATGTGTGGTATATAATTGCAGTTAACAAGTGACTTAGTGTGAGCCAGT